TTTTTTTTTTTTTTTTTTTTTTTTTTTGCTTTCTTCTAATGCATTGATTCTCTAGCGAGTAATTGGAACTTCTAAAGCATATATCGGTTAAACTTGAGGTTGTGGAGAATCTGTGGTCGAAATGGGGACCGGGATACAAATATATATATATGTATTGCTACATACATACTTAGAACGATTATCGCTGATACGAACTCGAATTTCGCACGATTTATCCATTGAATAGCATGGAATATTGATGTATTGATGTATGTCGCATTACCGGCCATCAGAAGACACTGTCTTAGAACCACAGACTACCATATATAGTGTTAGGGCTGGGTAGGGACAATAAGCTTGATTAATATATCCAAGTTAAGGCCTCTGCATTTGCATTTTAGAGTGGAGAAACACTTAGGCAAGGAGGAAAACCCATGTTGAGGCAAGCATTCACACACTTAAGCAAATATCATGTAGGCTCGCTCCATGGTCTTTGAGATAGTTCTGGCATCCCCTGTAGAGTTCTCAAAATATGTAATTAGTACTGAAACACGGAACAAGTAACTTACTTCTGCCTGGCAATGAGGTGCAAACAAACCTCCAAATGCCATATAAGACCAGTCTTTGTGACGATTAAATTCGAAATCTTGCCCCACCTGGGCAGATTATTGACGGTCTTGATCATGACGTTCTTGATTAAGTTTGACCTCTCCCGTCCTATTAACTTACATGAGGGTAGAAGCCAATTATCCAACTTGCAGACATTGTCCGTGTCTACTTTCAGCGCAGGTAGACCTCGAAATCCGCCAACGGCTCGCCCCGACCCATAACCCAGCTCTTGACCACCCGCGGGTTAACCCTAATAGGGCGACGAATAAGTATTTATTCGCTTTATGTATCTATTAATTTGGACTTTCTTAGTCTCATTTTAATGCGTATTTACTTGGCGTCTAAGATATAAGCCCGAATTTCTCTTTGTAAAGCTAGTATGTATACAGGTTGATCTGATACCATACACTTCACTTCTTCAAGGATATGATACAGTGTAGTGGGCGTTGTCGAGCTGCTCTTCACTATCCCTGCCGTTCTTCAGCCCCATATTAGACGGCAGAAGATTTCGATTGCCGCGGCTAGTTGATGATGCGTACTATGTGGTATAAGTATGTACCTGTAGCCCAGATCAACATCAAGCCGACACCAGAAAAACCTCACAACTTATCTAGCCTCAACGCGATAAGCGTCCTATCTGGAATCTGGATGGACATCATACCACCAAAGGCCCATCAGTGATAAACTAGCCGATCATACGAATCATTACCGGAATAGAGCGAGGTGCGATCTTGGCGCGGGGAAGAAAGCTTGGCCTTCGGCGGGGTTGAGAGATCCTTCGAGAACAACTCAAGACTTGGGATCTAGAGCGATCTATAGTTTGAGCGTCGTACCTTTTTGGATTTAACGATTCTGATACGATTTTGAGTTTATAGTTCAGGTGAGAACCAGAAACCCAGAAGTCTATCTCTAGCAACGTTATATTTTTCTCTAACCATCTAAGGGAGACATTCGCAACGTGTATATCGTGATAAGAGCAATGGCTCACGAAGCCAGGGGTGGATGGGTTAAAACCATGAAAGCAAAATGACCAACAGACCTTGCCAAAAAAAAAAATAAAACAAACAGCAAAATCCTTAACGGGTATACGCTTAGATGCAAA